GTTTCAATAACACCGGCAACTGCAAGAAAAACTTTGTTGGTTTTGGTTGCTTGACTTCTAGGCAGCTCCTCGAATAACTTGGAGAAATTGGGTTGCTTGTTTATAAACTTCTCCATCAAGTCCTGTTTCGGAGCCTGGCAGTCTGGAGTGAACACGCCAAACAGGCCTGCGGGAAGGGCGAGAAAAGGCCCAGCGTTAGCGGAGAGGCAGAAACAAACCCCGGGTGGGAGATCGCGGTTGGTAGGGCCTGCCACTCATTAACAGTACTCACCCTTGGGGCTCTTCATTTACATTTACAAACTGATTTAACACGTAAATGTTGATTGGAGAAGAATAATTTCACAAGGTTTAAAGGGAAGCTTTAATATAAAAGATAACAGTAACCCACATGTCCTTCCCCAAAAGGAAGGATTATAAATTAACTGGGTCCCCTCCTTTACTCCTGACCTGTAATACTGCCTTTCACATGCTATACAAAATTAGCCAGACTTCTTTATAACTAAAAGCACAATAGCACATTAGTCATCTTAAATCTGAGCTCTGGCCCAAGTGCTGGGGGGCTGGAAAGTTAGTTCTCACTGTGTATTCCTTTACTGATAATACTCAAGGCTCTTTCCCTGAATCTTGCAGACCCTTCCTCTTTGTATCCTATTCCATCAACTCTGCCTCCTTCACACACCACAAGAAATAACAGAACAACAGTCAGAGATAACAACTGAGAAAAACTAAAGGAGAATTTAGGAATGTTTTTCCCGCCTCTGGAAGGAAGAAGGTACATTGCTTCTGGTGCTAGTTATTAAACAGGAAGAATGTGGATGACCCTGAATGCCTGGAGAGGGGGGTTCCTCAGAATAATAGTCTTTTCTCCCTCCTGTAGCTCCAAGTAGCTAATTGGAAGCACAGAGAAAACAGATTGTTGCTTGTGATGAAGAGGCAGTAGTCGTGGATGTTGGAAAGTCCTGAAAATCCTAAAAACATGATCAAGGATGAGCTAATGCACTTGGCAGAAAATTGGATAAATTATAATATTTCACAATTCACTTTTTATTTTTAAAAATTCCACAGTACTTCATGACTTATTAAGAAGAAGAGATTAAAGATTATGGATTATTTGGTAATTGATGGCTCTATTATATTGCCTATTAAATCAGATTGCAGTAATCTTGATCAGAAATCACATTTACTGTATGCAAATTAAAAGCCTGTGGAAATTATTCAAGTTCTTGAGTAATATCAAGAACAAAGTTTAGGAAGCACTGAAATCAAAATTAGATGCTCTAGGGAAAAGAGGACTTTAAATCAGTTTAGAGGAGTGGAGCTTTTTTCTTATTTTCTCAGAAGGTCTTAACTTGGAGTTTGTTATCTGGTCTCTTCATATCAAAGACTTCTCTGCTTCCCTCGAAACATCACATGCAGCACAAAAAGCACACACTTAAAACTTGCCTTCCACATGGACTTAAGTGGGTACAGAGGGCAAACAAATAGTGCCTTTCCCTGGTTGGAAAGGGTGGGACCCTTAATCATCAGCTCTGGCCAAACAAGGGGGAATTAGAGGATTCTTTAAGAAAAACCAAAGAAACTATAACGGAGTTTCTTTTTCGCCATTACAAAAACAAACAAGGCTCCCTTGCATTCTCAATAAACAATTTTTAAGTGTTGAACAGTTTTAGAAGCTTCTACGTTTTCCACATATGCTCTGCTTTTATGGTGGGTTTTGTTGTTGTAATTTTTCAAGTGTGTTTGGGAGAGAAAACAAATACTGGAGAGACTGACAATAAGATGGAGGCCTTTCCTAAATTACATTTTGCATTTTGTTTAAGGCAATCTTTATTCAATAGAGATTTTTTTTTTAAAATTAATACCTGCTGTAGGTTAGGCGTTGACTGGAAAATACTCATTCACAAATCTTAGAATATCAAGACCTGGATTTATAAAGCACCTCTTCAGTCTTTAGGATTAGGAGGCTCAGGTCTACAGTTGAAAGGGAGGGCATAATTGCTACTTTGTGATATTTATTACTCAAATGACACTATACCTTCAAGCACTTGTCAAAAAGGCAAATAAAGACGAGTGAAAAACAAACTACTGAAATATTAACTATACAAAACGCTATAACCCTTAGGCAATAACTTTCCTTTTTTTAGAAAAGGAGAAATTTACTGAGATCAGATCAAGGCTCTTTGCCCTTTAGAAGGGAGTCGGGGAGGAGGAAAAAAGGGAGAGGGAAGGACAAGCGACAAACATAAAATAAACTGGCAGCATTCAGTCAACTAGGCAGGTAACTCTACGGAAGCGGCGAGGTGTACAAATCTGCCGGGTGCGCCAAAGCTTTCCAGAGCCACAGTGTTTCGTGCTTCCTTGCTTTTTCCTTTAAACCTGGGCCTCTGTCTCAGAGGTGCAATAGGAGGGGAACTCTACGTTGTTGGGAATCGGCAGGTAGGAAAGGAAACCTGATTCTTCCCAAAAGGCTGCAATTAAAATCTTAACCGCGACCCATCTGTCGTGGGACGACCCGCCCCCTTCCCGTGGCTAAGCGGTCCGGCGCTCTTTGTCTGAGCTGGGGAGAAAAGGAGACAGGTTCTTCGGACTCAACAGCAAACGGAAAGAACGTTTCCAGCCTGGGCGCGCCCTGGGTGCCTGTGGCCAAGCCGGGAACCGCTCCGACGTTGCAGTGGAGGTGGGGCGCCTCTTTCCGGACTCGGTCCTTGCGCTCTGCGCTCTCCTTCTGCACGTCTCTACCGCAGCTCCTGTCCGTACAGCCCGAAGCCATCCCGAGACCCGACAGGAGGCACTTCTAGGCCTAGTCGTAAGGCCGGTTGCATCTCCCACCTGGCCCTCTGGCTGCTTTCACCCTGCAATAGGACTCAAGCCTCCCCCTACTCTTTTCCTCGGCAATTAGGTTTCCCACCACCCACCTAGCTGCTCAGCTCCGGTCCTGAGCGTCAGGCGCAGTTCCAGCCCAGGCTCTCTTCGTGCCCACCCCTCTCGGCTCGCCTCACGAAAGCCAGAGTGAGTGTCCCCTGGCAAGTGCTGGGCAATGAGGTAGGGAAGAGGGAATATTTTGATGTCGATTCCTCCAGACTTCTTCTTCTTCTTTGGTGGAATTGCTCAGGGGGTCAACAATCGCAGCGGTTCTAGTGGGCTCCCAGTGCAGAGCCTTTCCACAGGCGCCCACACCCGCTTGGCCCGGTGTCTGGTACTCGACACCACCCGTTCTACACGCACCCACGTGGGGGTTAACTCACCAGACAGCACCCTGGGTTGCTGCGGACCGCCACTCACGGGCGTGCGGGACTCGAGGCCCTTGCTGGAATTGCGATCCAGCCCTACTCTGTCTGCGGGCGGGGGCTCGCGGCCTCCAAATTCTCCCTTTGCTGCCGCCAGTGCACGCCCAGCCCTGGCACACCTGACCTCAGGGCTAAACTCCGCACACTCGCCGGCGGGCAAAGGGGAGGGACAAGGAGGGCGCGCGCCGTTGCACCCTGCGCGCTCCGGGCCGCGCCCGCCTAGGCGGCGAGAACCCGCGCAGCGGGAGTCGCCGTCACTGGAGTCTTCCAGAAACACTCCACGCATTCTACCACTCCGACGCTCCTCCCTGTACGTTTCGGCGGGGTCGCCACGCTCGGATGCCGCCTGGAAGCGCTGCGTTGAAGGAGCAAGGGCTCCGCAAAGCTCTGGGAGGCGGAAGCGCGGCTGCGGCCAGAACTCGCGAGCCGGCAGGTGGCGGAGCCGCCGCTGGGCGGTGCACACGCAGCAGCGCTGCCGCCTGCGCTTTGAGAAATCTTGCGGACACTAGCAATTGCGAGGTTGGGGGAGGAAATCAATAAGTTGTTTCCCTTTTCCGCTCCACATTCAGAATCTAATATGCTCTAGCGAGCTCTAGTGAGCGCAGGCACTTAAGGAAATACTCTTTCCGGGTCCTCGATGGAAACGCATAACAGCGCGCCTGTGTTTCTGTGTTGCGGGGTTGGGTTCCGGCCCTAACCTGGGTTTCTTTCGGTGTGACACCGCTTAGTCCTTGCCGCTCCTCCTCAACTTTGTGGATGGAGCGTGTCCCGGCATCACGTTTACAAAACCACAAACACATAACAAGCCTCCCAAGGCCTTTAATTCTCAGGGGCGTTTAGAGAGGCCAGTTACCTGCTGGCGTCTTCCAAATGGTCCGGGCTCCATTCTGGCACAGGGACTGCGGGAAGCCGGAAGGGACGCAGCCCCGGGCCCTAGAGGAAGAAAGAGAGCTGCGAAGGAGACGGCGCGGCTCCGACCCGGGACCGCTTCAGCCTGGCGGAACAATGTGGGGAGAGCTGGGATTCCGCTGCCGGAGGCTTCCTGGCCGCCGCTTTCTGAAGCCTGGAGTTTGATAAATATAGCCTGGCGTTTGCCCCTAAATTAGACTCCGTTTCCTTATTTAGCCCTTGCACAATGATTTTAGATGATGTCACTTAGAGCTAAACGAGAAAATTGATCTAAGATTTGCTTGGCGTTTAAAGCCTGGTTAAACAGATTGAGAATTAAAAAGCCAGAGGAAAAAGCTAAGGGGTGGGGAGAGGGGGAGGTGGGGGAGAGTGGGGGTGGAGGGGGGTGAAGTGTGCGCCCTGCAAAGTTGTGCGCTGAGGGGAGGGCGCGCGGCCAGGCGCACAGCGCCCCCGCCCCCTGTGGGCGGGAGAACCTCACTCACCAATGAAAAGTAGTCAGTGACTGCAGAGAAAAAAAAAAAAAGTTTTCCTGTTGACTGTTGGAAGCGAATTGAGCAATTATCTAGTTTACCTTCTCCTCTTGGAAGTTAACGATTGGCGAGATCTTGGCTGCGTTATTGACACAACACTTTCTATTGATAGAAATAAGTAGTGATTGTCCCCGAGTCATTGGTGCGCCAAGAACTCTGAGATGGGCTGGCAGGAGTCCATTGGGCTGGGCACGCAGGTTCGGCTGGTGATGCTGGGGAGGAGGAGGAGGAGGCTGCTGGTGGTGATGGTGCCCGTCCCCCTCTCCGCAGGTCTGTGACAAGCAGGGAACGAGGCAACGACAGCGCAGCCTGGCCCCGGCTGACGGACGCTGGCGACTCAGACATGGACAGTAGCTGCCACAACGCGACTGCCAAAATGTTAGCGACTGCTCCGGCCCGGGGCAACGTGATGAGCACCTCCAAACCCTTGGCTTTTTCCATCGAACGAATCATGGCGCGCACCCCCGAGCCCAGGGCCCTGCCAGTCCCCCACTTCCTTCAGGGAGCTGCGCCCAAGGGGGACGCCAAACACTCTCTGCATCTTAACTCGTCGATCCCCTGCATGATCCCCTTCGTGCCTGTGGCGTACGACACGGGCCCCAAAACTGGAATGACGGGCTCGGAGCCACGGAAGTCGAGTCTGGAGGCTCCGGCGGCCTCCGCAGCGGCACCCGCAGCGCCCGCGTTCAGCTGCAGTGACCTGCTTAACTGCGCACTGAGTCTTAAGGGCGACCTGGCCCGCGACGCGCTGCCACTGCAGCAGTACAAGCTGGTAAGGCCGCGTGTGGTCAACCATTCTTCCTTCCACGCCATGGGGGCCCTGTGCTACCTGAACCGAGGTGACGGCCCGTGCCACCCGGCGGCCGGCGTTAACATCCACCCGGTGGCCTCCTACTTCCTCAGTTCCCCTTTGCACCCGCAGCCAAAAACGTATTTAGGGGAAAGGAATAAACTGGTTGTGCCGGCGGTGGAGAAGTATCCCTCGGGAGTAGCTTTCAAAGACTTGTCCCCGACTCAGCTGCAGCAGTACATGAAAGAAAGCGCCCAGCTTCTGTCGGAAAAAATCGCTTTCAAAACCTCTGACTTCAGCCGAGGCTCTCCTAATACCAAACCCAAAGTTTTCACTTGCGAAGTGTGTGGAAAGGCAAGTATTGTAAAGAAAGGAGGTCTCCTTTCCTCCCTTTCCCCTTTCCTTCCCTTCCCTCCTTTCTTTTAAATTTTATTTTGTCATTATTTGATTTGATTTCCAAGTACGCGTTGAGCTAACCTGTTGTATTTGTGTTTAACTTTAAGGTCTTTAACGCGCACTATAACTTAACCCGTCACATGCCGGTGCACACAGGAGCCAGACCCTTCGTTTGCAAAGTGTGTGGAAAGGGTTTCCGGCAAGCCAGCACGCTGTGCAGGCACAAGATCATTCACACCCAGGTGTGTTCTTCTGAGCCGGTTTCACCTGGTTACCTCGGAACGGTTTGTAGAAAATGGCGGATAAACCCTTACTCTTTAGCGTAAGGTTTGTTTAAAATGTGTTAGCTGGACACGGGGAAATGCCATGTATTGTTTGCCTTTGTTCTGCTTGAAAGCAGGAGAGAGAGCATTACTGTATGTCTGAGTTTGCAGGACTCCACTTAATAACAAAAATATCTTAACCTCTTTGCTTTTCCTCCCTTCCGCTTAGGAAAAACCTCATAAATGTAACCAGTGTGGCAAAGCTTTTAATAGAAGTTCCACTTTAAACACGCATACCCGAATACATGCAGGCTACAAACCGTTTATATGTGAATTCTGTGGCAAAGGATTTCATCAAAAAGGTATTGAACCAGGGAGATGCCTTTCGCTGTAGTTTGACCGCAAAACCCTCACCGTCCCGGCTTACTTTAGGAAACGATTTTTAAAGTGCAGCTAGTTTACTGGCGCATGTGTTGCCATCCAGCCTCCGACCCACAAGCCTGATGAGTTTTAGAGAAAGGCAGGGTGCATATACCGATGGGATATTTTTTCTTAACCACTTGCTCTCGTTTTAGACAATTGGGTTAGTGAATATATATTAAAGTGTGGATGGAAGGGCCTCATTGTCGATGTTTATAAGTAAACTGGGGGAGAGACGTGCAACAGGGAGCGCAACCCTGCACCGGCTGCCTGTCGGAGCGGTGGCGGCTTTTCCTTTTGCCTCCTTTTTCTTCTACCTTCCACTCCTTCCTTTTCGAGCTCTCTTTTCAGATCCACATTCCTGTCATTCATCTTTTTCAGGGAATTACAAAAACCACAAGCTGACCCACAGCGGGGAGAAGCAGTTCAAGTGCAATATCTGCAACAAGGCTTTCCACCAGGTTTACAACCTCACCTTCCACATGCACACACACAACGACAAAAAGCCCTTCACCTGCCCTACATGCGGCAAGGGATTTTGCAGGAACTTTGACCTCAAGAAGCACGTCCGCAAGCTGCACGACAGCAGTGTAGGAGTAGCCCGCCCGGCTGCTTGGGAGCAGGGCGCGGACCAGCAGCCGCCTCTGCAGCAGCCTACGCCCTCCGCGACGCTGCCGCCTCTGCCGTCCCAGCTGCCCCCTGGACCCCTGCAGCCCGGGCTTCATCCGAGCCACCCGTGATCAAGGCCAAAGTCCCTTCCTAGACCCCTCGGGCTCCCCACTACTGAGGGTTCGGCAGAGCAGAGCTGGACCTCCCGATCCAAGCTGGTCTGCAGAACCCAGGACATGTTGGGTCCCGCAGGTTGGCCCCACAGGCTGGTGCCGACCAGAAGCCTCTGCATTCCCCAGCCTTTTGCCTCTTGCATGCACCTGCTAAATGTTTTTGTGTATTACATTCTAATATATAGGCACTAACAATTATGAAAATTGTGGGTTTTGTTTTTCTGACTTTTTTATTTTTAATTTGGAAAGACTTTTCATCTTGGGTGGAGAGATGGTGTTTTGTTTTGTTTTAAACAATTTTTTTTTTGCTGTATTTATTGAAACCTGTATTATCTTACCCAGGAATGCTGCACCATTTTCATTTTATTATTGTATATATTTCCATTGTGTTGATTCTGTGGTCTCAAGATGCCTGCCGATTGTTTATAATCATTTCCTCTTTCCCTGAAGTAACAAAACGCTGTGTGTATGTTATATATACACGCATAGATGAGTATACCTATAAAGGCACATTCCACACTGAGCACACACATACACATCAAATAAGTGTGATTCATTATGGATGAATTTGAATTTTGGTTTTGATTCTTGCACGGGGAAAATGGATTCATTGACTGTTGGAAATAAATACATGGAATGTGCTTATTTAATCAACAGCTTCAAGGCTCTGTTTATATTATTCAGCCAGAGATCCCTGACTTGACCTTCTCATCCTCCTTTTTAAAAGTTCAACTCTGTATTGGTACCACCTAATGTTTGATCAGCAAACTTCACCAAGAGCAAATGAGTTTCTCCCAACAGTTATGACTTTGGTAAAGTAATGAAATTTTCTAGAGCTCAGAGACGGAAAATGTGGAGTTTTGTAACAGATCCATAGCTTTGTCCTGGGCCATCTGACATGCCTGTAGTGCCTGGGAGACACGGACACCTCCCTGGGAGATGTGTGTAACGTCCGTCTCCACGGGCGCTGAAACCAAACCGTGTGGACGGTTATCTATTGTTTGCATCCTGAAGGGACACACTGATTTGTACACAGTTGGCAAAGAGAGCCTCCATGTTTGGAGGTGTGTGTATGTGTTTATAGAAGAATATACTTCCATTCAAGGAGGAAACATGGATGAAAACCAAATTGTGGCGGGTGCCAGGTCCTTGAAATGCTTCAAGTGTTAATCAGCAGTTCTGCTGTGAGCTTGGGCTCTCTTGTTTTCTAACTGCAAGTCTCTCCTGTTTTCTTGCCAAAACAGTGAAACAACTGCTAAAGACTTTAATTAAGAGGGGTAATTAGTTCAGATTTATCAAAGACCGGTTGTTATACTATTAGCTGTTCAGTAGAAGCTGCCAAACAAGCTCACAGCCCAGCACGGCCATCGCGCTGCACTGGGGCCACAGCCGGGGAGAAAGACTGGGGGGAGCCGGTTAGGGGTTCCCGCCTCGGCCGCCCGCGGCCCCTGCCGCCGGCTAGCCCGGTGGGTGGGTCTCTGCCTCTCCCTCCGCCTCGCGCTCCCGCAGGCACCGCCACAGCAGAAATCCACAGTGGATCCGCACAGTGAGCGCAAGCCCTGGAGAGCCCAAGGATTTCCTTCCCGCGCACAGGGCGGAGCGCCCAGAGTGTGCAAGAGAAGTACCACGAACGCGTTTAAACGTGGGGTTCCCCCCTCACCTTTGGATTTCTTGCTGCGCTCAAGGAAATGCGGCACCAGGCTGAGACCCACAGGAGGACAGACCGAGATGGGCTGGGGGTACCTCAGGGGCGAGGCGACAATTTCCTTGGCAACCAGAACCCTCATTTCAAGGCGGGGAAGGATTGATGGCTGCCAGTGTCTAGAGCCAATGACCTGAGCGGCTCCTTGGAGGCCCGAGAGGCAGTGGGGTGACAGAGCGCCGGTGGGGGCGACCGCGGGCGAGTGGGTGAGCGGTCCCTGCGGGTCGTCCAACTCAAGGCCCACTGGAGTCTCTTTTGGGGTGGAGGTGCCGGAGACAGGGTCCTGGGAACAGGGAAGCGCCGATTCCACGTGTAGACTTCGGGGGCCAGAGCTACCTGCTCTTGCCCCAGGACGTGAGTCCTTCATCGCCCTTCACCATCCCCTGGCCCTGGGGCCCTAGGGCTTTTAAGTCCCTGCCCACCAATCATTAGATAGAATACCTTCCCTGCACCTGACCCGATCTGTGTTGGATCTGACTTCGGAAAGAAGGTAGTTCTGGAACTCCATAGTTGGGTGTATTCTGAATCTGAGCTGCTGGCAGAAGTGCCATCCCTCCCTGAGTACCGCAGCCGACAGGAAAGGCTTGTCCCAGGGGTTGGCCATGTTCCCACACTGTTGCCCACACCACAGAGGGACATGCCCCTTAGTTTATGGGTAACAACCTTTTGGCGGTGGCTAAGTCAGACCCTGAAAGCACTAATTCTCATTGAGTAAATAGAATGAGGTCAGGGGTCATTGTATGGGGCAGAAAATGGCCTTTGCTTGTTGAACTTATTCTCAATAGTTTTGTGAACTCCTTAAAAACCCAGTATGTAATTCTTCCAGGCTTTCACAGTGACACGATTTTACCGGTGGAAAATGTAATGAGCATTGCTGAGGAAAATTACGAAGCCATAAAATACTTCCAGTTAGGAAGTAGCTAAATGGTGGTCCCAACTCCTAACACATCCTAGTATGCTTTGACTTACACTGGAAAAAGAAGTATCCTGTGGAAAGGTAAAATTGGTCAGTGGGGGAAGGAGAAGAGAGAGAGAATGAGAATCTGTAATTGTAATCTGGAATGGCTGTGCGTAGGTCTAATTTGGGAGGGTGCAACAGTTACAGACAAGGCAGGCAAAAGGAAGCTGTTGTCTCTTTGAGTAGCCTGAAGTGGTGGTGATTAAGTAGGAGAAGCCAAAAGGAAATTCTCTAAACTAAGCACTCAAGAGATTACTTGTCAGGAGGTGAATTATCAATAAACTTTGATTTATGACAAGGCTGTTAGAGCTCACTAAACAGAATATCCTTAAAGATAGTATGGCTTCAGAGATTAAGTTAGAGGTGGTAAAAATGGATGAAGAGGAATACTTAGCTACTAGTCAATGAAAGACCTTCACAATTCTCTCTCCTCTAACAAATATTAAAAGGTGATCTTTCCTCTTTGCTATCTAACCTGTGTGTATCTGTGTGCTTATATAAGTGTCTGTGTTTGTTCAGGAAACGTGTATCCTAAAACTATACATAGCAAATTGGCTGACCGCAGTCTACCTTCTTTCTACCAGATGTGACAGATTCACATTTAGTAAGGCAGAGTGGCCAGTGTTCAGATCGCCTGCAGAGAGAAACGGTTTAGCTTCACCTCTCTCTGTTGGAATTGACCTTTGGTACAGAGGAAGGGGGCCTGTGGGGCTGCAGGACCAATTTTAGAAATGTACTGACCTGGAGCCTCATACTTTGTTCAGTTTTTGGAATCGGGACATAGAACAGAATGAATAATGCACATACTTCATTCCTACTGGTTTTATTTATTTATTTTTAAAGGTTTACTTTATTTTCATTTGAGAGAGAGGGCTAGGGAGAGAGAGGAACATGGATGTGAGAGAGAAACACCAATGGGCTGCCTCCTGCACAGAGCATCCCCCCACCTCCACCGTGCCCTTCCCCAAAGGGGGGTCAAAGCTTGCAACGTGGGCAGTGCTCCGACCAGGAATCAACCAGGACCTTTGGGTTACAGGGCGGCTCTCCCACCGACTGAGCCATACCATCTAGGGCCCTGCTGATATTATTTTAACAAACAACCTTAATCCTGAAATCCAATAACTTCTTTCCAAAGGATAGAGTTTGTTTAGACTTTCAAAATTTTAGTTTGAGAACAAGATTGTGCAAGATTAAGACTAAGGTGTCAATTTCTCAGTAGTAAATGAAAACATTACTTAAGAGCTTCATCAAAGTTACTTGTTGGTGAAGTCTGAAGCTTGGTGTGGTTCTTAGAGAGCTTTGCTTCTTTCTAAACGTGGAAGAAATGAATCCATAAGACACAATGGAACCATAATTCTCCGTCATAATGCACCCTGTTTGATAGATACCCTTTACATAAGTGGCAGTTAGCAATGTCAGAAATCATCATTTGTTAGATTTAGTGACAACTCAAAGCATTTACTAAATTATAACTCTAATGGGTTTACTTTGTCTTTGTAAAGTATTCATTCCAGAATATATAATATGAAAAATAAATTATTGCAAATTCAAATTTAGGGAAGAAACAAAAACATTTTCTTTATCACTTTCTAAACCCTTGCAATGGGTAAATCTTTGTTACACATCGAGTTTGTAATTTTAGGGGATTATGATTCACTCTGTTACCAAAGAGTGCATTTCTATTATTTTAAAGTTATTATTAGTTCTTAATCCTCACTTGAGGATATGTTTGTTGATTTTTTTAAGAGAAAGAGGAAGGGGGAGAGAGAGAAAGGGACATTGATATGAAAGAAACATCTACCCACTGCTTCCTGTATGTGCCTGAACGGGGATTGGGGATGGAAGGAAGTGAGACCCAGGTATGTGCCCAGGCTGGGAGTCAAGCCTACAACCTTTTGATGTACTACAGGACCAGGCTTCAACTGACCGAGCCACTGGCCAGGGCCAAACTGCATTTTTAACCATGAAAATGAAAAACAAGCCTAAATCTCAAGGGATAAAATTATGAAATTGTTGACTGGTTCCAAAGATTTTTTTTTAACCAGATAAAACATTGTGAGTTTTTTTGCCATGATTTGGCTGAAACCACATATTACTTTCGCACTAGAAATTATGTGTGTTCATTAAGTTAGTTTAAAACCAAAAAATGAACCATATTTGGAAGTAGAATATACCTTATGAATTTCATTGTTTCTAGAAATCAAGACATATGTCCATTCCAACTCCAGGGCAGACTAACTAAAAACAAATAAAGATATATTAATCAACACACTGGTAATTTGCATATTCTTGGTGATG